GGGGGGGGGGGGGGAGGTTGGGTCTACTTCCTTCTTTTTGGTGTTGCAAGTTCTGACAGATTTTAGGGTTTCATGGGCAATTGATCTTTCTTTTGTTGTTTTTTGAACTCTTTGTTATTGTTTCATTTTCTTTTTTGTCAACGTGAATATCCAATTCACTATTTGAGCTGATTAATTTCAGGATGATTATTTGCTTTTGTAGATGGTCTGGAGTCATCGTATTTGAACCTCTATGGCCACAAAAAGGATTTTTATTTTTCTTTGGATTTGAACATGAGACCTCCTGCTACTTTTGACCTTTAGAGTCAAGCTGAAACTAATCAGACACCACCTTTGTTGATCAAAATTTGACACTTGAAAGTGTTACAATCTTTGACAACCATGTTAAATTAAATAATTTTTTTGACCCAATTAAGGATTTTCTTTACTTTAACAGCTATGTTAAATGATATGTTATAACCGCCCCGGGGGGGGGGGGATACGACTTGAAACTTTCAAATTTGAAGAAATCTCTAAAACCTTATAGAAGTGAAATAAACAATAATATTTAATTATTTTTATCAAATAAATGTATTAAAATTAAATGTGTAGTATATGATATTAAAATTGATAAAATAAAGTAGTATATGATATTAAAATTGATAAAATAAAACATATCATAAAAACTATTAAAAACCATTTTTTATGTATGAAGTATTATGTATTAGTGTATATTACTTATAATTTAAAATTACAAGTAAATTATGTATAAGTACAATTTATTAAATCTTCATTTTTGAATTCGTATAACTAACTACAGATAAACGTAATCAAATACATGATAAACATCTAATTTTAAATATTAAAATATAAAATATAATTAGAATCATCATTGAGTTTTAACAAAATCATTTTTTTATAAAAATTATATTGTTAAGCCAAAAATAAATTAATTCGCTATTAGACCTAAATTAAATTGTAGTAAAAATTTAAATTAAAGAAATTGTACCAAAAAAAAAAACTATAACTTTTAAATAGTTAATATCACCGATATATTTTTTCAAATTTTTATGATATCTTTAAATTTATTTTTATTCAAAAGTGTAAACATTTTCTCTATCAAAACCACATAAACCGTATTATATCAAAAGAGACAAAAAAACATTAAAACGAAGATGTATCTCACTGTATTACATGAGTACCATTCTAGTAAGGTAAAACTAATAATTTAAATATCGTCTCATATTTATTAAAAACATCCAATATTAAAAAAAATTAATTGTATGTGGGACCCACCAAAATTATTTTTTATATTATTTTGGTACTTTTTTTTATAGAGAGGGGAGTGACCCCTCCAGATCAAAAAAAAACACTTAAACGCTAAAAAGCAAGACAAATACGCGCTCGGGTGGGGGCGAACCACATCCACCAGAAAAACCAAGGCACCCAGAGAGAAAAAGAGGGAGGAAGAAAGCGAAGAAGAAAGAAGAGAGGAAGAGAAAGAGAGAAAAGATAAAACAGAGAAAGGGGAAGAGACGAAGAGAGAGAAGAAGAGGGGGAGAAAGAGAAACCGACCACAAGGGAAGGGCCCAACCAAGCCAAGACCGGGAAACAAACACTTATATTATTTTGGTACTTTTTTGTTCAACATAAGGGGGATCGCCCCAGGGGAGATCGGGGTAGTCGTTTTGACAATTTTGCTGAAAAATGGTTATTTTATTATATCAGGTATATTTTGGTCATTTTGGTGATTTTCTCTTGTTCTATCCCTTATTATTAATATCAGAATTTTCTTTTTTACATATTTTTGTTTAATCCAAAAATGGTATAAATAACAACATAAAATAGACCAATAGAAGAGAGTTGACCGGATAGACATCAAATCAAAATAAAAAGCCAAAAGAAGCAAAAAGATTTGGACATTGGGAGTAGAAAGATTTGCACTTTAAAAAGGACAATTATTTTCTCCCCCTCCAACTGCATCTCTTAAGGAATTTATAAGTTTTTTTAAAGGTAAATTGTATGAAAAAGTAGCGTATTTTAATTTGATTTTTATTTTTGTTAATGTATTTGTAAAACTTTTATTTTGGTACCTAAGATTTTAATATTTAAGTATTTGAATAACCGGTTGAAGACTAATTTTAAATTAAAAAAATATATGTCACTAACCATGTCAGCAAATAATACTGAGTTGGATACCAGATCAATCGCTACATTAGCATGGTAACCGATTAATGCTTCAACAGGTTACCCGGATACTTAATGTTTTTTTTTTTTTCCAGGAGGGGTGCTAAATAAATATGAGTTAAATTATTTAAATACATTATTATTTGTGAGAAGAAGAGATTCATTCATTTTGGGGATCGGAAACGTCATCAAATAATTCACCGTTTTTAAATAAATATTCATAATAATAAAAAAAGCAGTTTAAAAAGAGATATCATTTATGTTTGCCTCAAAATAAATATGAGTTAAATTATTTAAAAAATAGATAACTAAATTGTGAAGTCTACCTTTAATTAATATACAAGTATTTGATAGTTGTAAAGAGAGGGAAATTACATAAGGGGTGAAAATGTCATTTCACGTATAAAATCACATGTGATTCACGCGACTTTAGCCACGACCTGAGATTGCGGACCAGGTCACCCGCACATCTTTATGTTAACCGTTAGTATAAAATCATATGTCATTTTGTACGTGATTTGACCGCTTCCATGTTCTTTTATTTAGTTATTGTTCTCGTCTGTACTTAGTTTTTTTTTTCTTTAGGAAATGAATAAGAAAGGAATTGAATTCAAAAGTGATGTAATGACCAAATCCACAAATAATAGAATGTATAGAATTCAATTTCCATATGTAAACCAAACATAGGAATCGAATTTAGTCAACACACTTGATCATTCTAATTTCTTCAGATTCCATCAAAGTCCTGCTAACCAAACCAGGCATAACAATTATACACATCTACAACTGTATATCATTTTAACCACAAGGGTAGTGCCTGATTGGTTTGAGATTGCGTTCCAAAAATCAAAAGTGCCCGAATGTTTCAAGTTCAAATCCAAGGAAAAATAATAATCCTCTTGTAGCTACGGAGATTCAAATGCGGTGACTCCAAACTACCCGCAAAACAGGTGGTCGTCATGGGATTAGTGGGCTCGTATAACGGGTTGGATATCCAGGTTAATAAGTGAAATTAAATCAAAATATTCCTAAAAAAAGGCTCTTAACAAACAAGCAACACAACACAACTTAAAAGAAGACTCTTAAACAAAAAAAATGGGCATCTTGTTATTAAGATTATTATAAGCAAACTTTGGCAGGCATAAATAGTATCCTTTCATACATGATGACTATGGCTACTGAAAGGATACATATACAATTGAGATTTAAGAACAACCAAAACATCTACTTATCGAGAATAAACTCGATGGTGCTGAGGTTGGCGAGTCTACTTCAGGCGTGTTTCGTGGAAGATGCCGTAAGAAGGCTTTCACCGCCCCGTCCACCCCATCCTCCTGCTCCATCGCCTTTGCAAGTTCCACCGCTTGTTCCTTTACCTGCAATAATCAATGTCTTTAACTCTATCTTCGCTGCTACCAAAAAATTAAACGCTCGACAAAATGATATTGGCTAGTTACCAACACAAACTGGGTAAGCGCTGACAGAGTAAAAGCGCTGATAGGGTAAGTGATTCGGACTGGGTAAGCACTGACTGAAGCATTGTTCGAGTCAGAATGCAACTCTTTCCTTACTAGGTCAACGTATTTGTTGGTCAAATTGTGTTTATCAACACACCCCTGTTCTTACTGGGTAAGCTCTTACCACGTGGTAAATAACAATTAATCCCAAAATTAATGTTCACAAATAATAAATGGGTTGTTTGTTTACATCCTAATAGTTCCATTAAGAGACAATTTCTGAATTGTTAGGAGGTGAAACTTGTTTGGGAAAAAAAAATCTGGCTCTTAATGGTTCTAAAACCCTCTGAATGATTTTGTATCATGGGTCTTCCTTAACCATTCAGCGCCCTAATTCCATTATAAACAATTACCAAACAATTATATTTCATTTTATTATACATCATGAGAGCCTCTTAATCATTCTGACCACTTAATCATTTTGCACCAAACCATTCAGCAACTGTCAAAGAGTCCCTAAATAAAACATACAGTTTTAGAAATGTATATTTATTACACTTCTTGATTCATTGAATAAAAATTTAACGAATTTCTCCATCTCATCAACTCCTATATATTCGGGCGTGGTAATTAAGGGTAGAATTTGAAAGTAAGCTATAATTTTTTTCCAAAATAAAGTAGCTAAAATTAAAATCTCTAAAAAAATTACATCCAACTCCAATAACTACTCTATTTTAGTAATTTCAGCATTAATTATATTATTAAAATATATCACAAATTTATCGATCAATACACTTTTAAGAAAACATTGTAAAAATTATAACAGATTCAACCTCATTGGTGGAAACGGTCAAAATAATACATCTTTTTCCTTGATATTAAGGTTTTTCTAGAGATTTTTCCAAATTTGAAGAATTCTAATTCGGTCTTCTTTTCTCTGTTCTAACATACACTTTAGCATAGCTGTTGAGGCAAAAAAAAACTCCTAAATCTCTAAAATCAATATTCTAGCCACTTGGTTGAACTTTAAACCTACTACTCTCTCCGCCCAAAAGATCATTATGCAAAATTCAATCTTATATCAAATTAGAGTCTGGTTCAAATGAGAACTGCAAATATTTTACAAACCAATAAGCTAATTTTTAGTGTATATTCATTGTTGAATATACTCATTGACAAAATACTAATGCAAACGAATATGGTATGTATTCATTTATGAATATACTCATTGAATACATTATACATATTTTGATGAAATTTATGTGTATATTGATCAATGAATACACACTATAAAATTAGTTCCTTGGTTCTCAAATTATTTGCAGTTCTCACATCAACCATCCAGTATCAAATTAAACCACAAAAGAAACTTAAATCGTTCAGCAGTTCTTTTTTCAAACGCCTGATAAAGACAAACGGAAAGTGGCCGAAATCATCTTATAGAAAAATCATGTATTGATCTTTGAGCATGAAGGTGCTCGAAGAGTTGCAATGCAAAACCATAAATTGGCATTCGGAACCAAAAACTGATGGCATGTTTAAAGAATGATTCATTACCTTCGGATCCAGCATGAATTTAATTGCGTCGACCAACTTTGGAAGCGAAAATTGATCAACCGGTATGGGAGGGGGCCCCACGCCTCTGGCATGAACTCGTTCTCCCCAAAAGGGTTGATCACCAAAGAAAGGTACGATTGTGGTTGGGCACTGAATTGCAATAAAAGTGAAGAAAGAGTCGGAAACCGGCATTTAGAGAGAAAAAGTGCAAATAATTTGTCGAGACTATTACCGCAGCTTTAAGACCAGCGGCTGTTGTTCCAGCACCCCCGTGGTGGACCTGGATACGAAAGAAAGGGTTCGTTTATTATAGGAAGAACCAAGAAATCAAATATTCAAGTAAACTCTAAATTATTATATTATGATGTTGAATATATTAATATTAGTATTAAGAGTATGAAATCGAAAAAAAATTATCATGAAAAGTTTAGGAATTGTTAGTTTGGTTTTCCATTAAGTCCTGGATAAATAAAGTTGTCTGTGTGGATTAATCAACCTGTATAGATTGGGAGGGTTTTGTTTGGGAGCGTTTTTACATAGATAGAAGGAGCATTTTTAACTGGGAGGGGCAGGTTTGGGAAAAAAAAACTTGGTTTTCTGCAAAAAGCTCCCCCTTATAAGCTTATTGAATAAACCACTTTCTATATCATTAAGCCATCATGTACAGCTGACCGAATAAGCTCCGAGTCTCATTAAGCTGCTAACAAACATGCCCTTAGACTCCCTTTGTATGATCGATATTTGAATGAACAAGATATATAAAAAGGTAGCATTTTAGACAACACCGAATTATCGTAGGGGCCGTTTACCAAATGCTTACTAGGTAAGCATTTACTGACAAGAATCACCATTTACCTTATCAGGTAACGTCTCGACCATCACAATGGATAGTTGGTAAGCGTTTTTTACCCGGTTAGCGTTTACCAGGTAAGAATATTCTCCCTCACTTACCGGGTAAGATTATTGGTCCTTGATATGCCTCTTACCGAGTAAGATTTTCGAACCTTCCCATGTTCACCCGGTAAACACTTACCAGGTAAGCGTCTCGTAAACGGCCCCTTAGTCAGATGACAAATAAAAGCAAACTATTCTTATAGGAAGGGTCGAATGTGTTAAGAAAGCACCATCATCTACAATGATGGAATTCTGAACTTCCAACAAAAGCAAAAGGAGGGTCTAATGATATCAATAAACTGGACAATGAAACGTCACAATGGGTGCATATTTTAAGGAATGACGGTATAAACGGGATAATGAAACCTCACCACAGATGCACATTGTAAGAAAAGCCAGTCATGAGGGATGTTGTCCAATGAGTACACAAAATCTTTCGGTTCTGCCACTGGAGAAACAAAGTATAGTTAAGTTCATTCCATGAATATAGGGTTTGGTTCACGTGAGACCATCATGTTTTCGTGAGACGACAAAATAACACTAAAACTTCACATCAAAACATTGTGAAGACACAAAAAACATAGAACCTTACGGTAAAGGTAAACATTGAGAAGGTTTAGTGTTATTTATGTGGTCTAACGAAAACAGACTGGTCTCACATGATCCCAAGTCTAGTTCAGTAATCAACTTTTTGCCCTGAATATAGTTCAATGATCCAAAACAGGAAATGCTAATAATAGTAAGTACTCATTCCGTCCCAAAATAAGTTTCTATTTTAGTTTGTCCCAAAATGAGTGTCTACTTTCTGATTCTACCCTTAATTATGAAATGGAGAAATTCATTATTAAGTGTACAACTGTCATTTAGTTAATTAAAAAGTGTAATTACACATTTCCAAAATTGTATGCCTTTTGACGGAAAGAGTAATAAAAAGCATATACAGTCAAAGATACTGCAAAAGATGATGGAACCAGAAACTTACAGTTGCCAAGACCACCCCAGCCTTTGTTGATGATTCCCCTTTGTCCAGTCATTTCTAGAGCTTGAACGATTATTTGCGTCATTTTTTCGGGCTCTTGAACAGGCTGACGATAAATTTAAAAGAAAAAACCATCGGAAATAGAAAGATAACAAGATACCGTATCCATTCTTGAGGACACGCAATTAAGTAAGCAAACGGGTCCATGTATGGCTTCTACTGTTTATTTTATTTTTCTAGTTCTTCCAAAGCGATAACAAGTATTTTCAAATTTCGAAAGCCGTCATAAATCTTTGATAGCATAAGAATGACAAGAAATCTCATCTTCCAAGGGTTCAAATTCAGGCGCTGTCAAAGCCCCTGTTGGAGGTTCACCTACGATGACGACTCCAAGTCGTTCGTCGTCAGCCGGGGGATTAGTTGGTGTGCGCAAGCTGGCCCAGAAACCCACACTTACCTGCACCTATTAATTCCCCAGGGTGACCACGAATGACCTGGAGTCATCTTAGGTGAACCTCCATGGCCGCAAGGGTTTTGGCAACACCTGGATTTGAACCCAGGGAAGATGAGATTTCCACTACATCCCCCTAAGCCTTAACCCACAAGACAAGGGTTACAAATTTCAAACTTCATTTTGATGTTTTCATGGTTTACAAAACTAGTTCATTAATAGAAACGCTCGTTGACTGTTTGACTTTGATGAGATTGAGGTTTCAAACCCAGTAACATAAAATTAGTATATATTTTTCTCATTTTTTACTTTATCTTTTTTACAACACAATATATTACAAAAAAAATGTCAAAAGAAAACACAAGTGTTACGAAATGAGGTCTTAGATTACCTTATTTGTTTCGAATTTGATTCTTCTTTATCAAACAAAACAACGAATATAAAAAATAAAAAGAACAAAGATGCAAGAGCATGTTCGGATAGACTCACAAGACTACCGAACCCAATGTAGATAGGCTTCGGGCCAGCTTTAAGCCAGCTTAAAAGTTCTTCAGGAGGTTCATAGTTTGAAGCAAGATCGAGGAAACAAAATCCAACCACGTCAATCTTTGGTCCCCAATCTGCATATGTAGAGATACGAAATCATTCAATGATTAAGTGGTTAGAATGGTTAAGAAGCATTGTATGATTTAGTGTCAAATGGGAAAGATTGTCTGAAAACTGTTCTGAATCAAACAGTCTGAATGACATAAAATTACCATTTACCCCAGTCTTGTGTTGAATGGTTGTATAAAATTAATGTTTGACAGAAGTTCTGAATGAAAAGTATAAAACAATTAATGGTCCAAGACAACACATGATATCGTATCAGTCTTGTTACAGTTAGTAAAGTTTTTATATAAGATAACGTGTTGAGGCATTCTCTAGTATAAAATAGCTCCCCAGTGAAACATTAGCCATCCAAATACATTTGTCATACCCCAGGTATTATAGTCAATAAGTCAGAGTAGGCTATGGTACAAGTGTTTACTGTAGGGTACAAATAGGTGAAGCAGGGTAGTGGGTTTTACTTGGTATAAATAAGAGGGTTTTGGAGGGGAGCAGGGTATGGATTATTCTAATATGTTCGAGATTGGCGAAAGCCTTTGAGAGACCTCCAACTTCTCAACTTGCTGGAAGCCTATGTTTAATCATTTGAGATAATTTCATTTTGAAGTCATCTTTGTGTACCAATTTCATTGTTAATTGCTCGGTTTGTATCAACATCATATGATTCTATTATTATTTTTAAAATAATCTACCACATGACTTATAGGATCTTAACCGGACAATGGCCCCTTCAGCTTGAAGAGTGCAAGGTATAAGAGGTGTAACATGTAGCGATGTGTAAGGGCATGTTTGTTAATAGCTTAATGAGCTTAATGGGGCTCACAGCTTATTCAGTCAGTCATACATGACTCTTTGGTAGTGGCTTAATGATATAGAAAGTGGCTTATTTGGAAAGCTTCTAGGGGAGCTTTATTCAAAAAGCCAAGTTTTCTCCAAACCTGCCCCCTCCATATTAGCAAAATACGCTTCTTCCATATATGAAAAAACCCTCCCAAACGAAAAACCTCCCAATCTATACAGAGACACTAATCCACACAGTCAGCTCTATCCATACAGGACTTATGGAAAACCAACCAAACAGCACCTAAGAAAAACCGCATTTGCAATGAGTGCTATCCAATCAACTGTAGTGTATCTAATGTACCTTTTGGTTTAGGAACAAGATGAGGACTCCATATATATCCATGTGGAATATGAGACTCCGAGCCTTGTGAACCACTTAAATATGTGACTGGCCGCAGCTTCAGTTTTTTCTTCCTAACATCATTTATCATGTCCCGGATTCCAAGCCAAATCAAAGAGTCAACAATTTGATATGATAGCTGCATTCTCTCATACAAACAGGAATTAGACTCAAAAGACGAAAACAATTAACATAGAATCGAACAACTAATATGGGAAGTGGCAATGAACTTACTCTATATCCAGCTGGTTGCTTGACACGAGAGAGGGGATGAGGAAATTCACTAGTTGGCCTGGTTTGCAGAAATTGGAAGTCATTTTTCAATTGAAAATTAACCGTCCATATTTTACAGCATGACAGAAGAGAAGAAAGTGCATGACTTAGTAGAAAGATGGGAGAAGAAGTAATATTTAAAGAGGCAAACTTATAATATAAGATGGATTTCATGATTGATTAGAAGAAACTTTCAAAAATAAATCCTAATTTAGAAAAGACTTACGTCCAAGGCATTGTAAAAAATATATGAATGGGTATTTTCAGTGCCTCTGCAACATGTGTATGTCCTGAAACAGTTTTTTCCACGTGAATCAGTGAAATACGAACCTTCATAAATCAGTATAATATCTCTTTTGCAGCTAAAAAGAAGCTATATGCCAAATATATAAACCTTTCAGTACTATCCAACATAGTTAGAATAACACGCAAACTATAGAAGAAATATGAATAAAATATGTATTGTTCAAATAATAAATGGAGGTAGATCAATGACTTTAAAAGAAGGCCTAGCAAAATTTTAGAATGGATCATAGAAGATTGTTTTGAACCACCCCTAATTACCATTGCATCCCACTTAATGTAACATGATACCCATTAACATGAATAATTAGAACGAGAGTGAGGTTCAGGGTAAAAGCCCCAAAAAACTGCGGAACACGCTAATAACCACTCATTTGTACGGTATACACATGTGCATACAAGTAATTAAAGATGTTTCTTGGTTTTGGTTTCTATGCACGTGTGCATACTAGACAGGTTACTTGTATGTACATGTGCATACCTTACAGATGGATGATTACTAGGGTGTTCATCAGTTTTACATTCTTTTTGCAGTTTTCCCCTGAACCTGTCCCATTAGATTGATATAAGAGGGGTCTAGTTGTTCTTCGGATGTTCTTGAAGAAAATCGATACCCATTTGCACTCAGAAAAGAATTCTGCAACCATAAAGGAAAACGACCTTCAACTATGCATACTTGCATACAATCATTGAAGTTATTTCATTATCCTTCTTCAGAATGGAGCATCAGAAATAGATAAGTTAAAAAACTTTAAAGACAATTTATCTTCTAACGGGCATGGCATTAGTAACAGAGCTCATAAAGCATGAACATGCCTAAGCATACAAACGAGGAGCAAATGACCTCAAGTAACATGACACTTGGAGTGCTTAAATGATAATAACAATTAAGCACTTACCATATGCTGGGGGGTTCGCTATAATTGCCTCTGCTCTAAACGAGATTCCGGTATCAAGATCAGGCTCTCTGCATGCCGGGAATAAAGAAAAGATTATATCCTTCATCTGACTTCTCTGAACAGGAATCTCAGAAGGACCCGAAGGCAAGAACCCTTTGTTCTTAACCATGTCTGCAAAATGAGTTAAAGTAAGTAGTTGCATACCCCTATTCGTGAATCGTGATCATGCCCCATTCACATGTACTAAAAGGGAAATTTCAATAATGCCAATAAATCGGTGACTACCAACTAAGTAAGCTTGTTGTTTTGATCGTTCCTTATAATCAGAAACAAATCAATAATGCAGCACATTGATAAATTAAAAAGAAAAAGATAAATCATGTTATCTAATTTATGTAATTTATATGGCAACACTGTTTGTACACGGGTGGTACATATAGCAGGTTCACATATTATAGGAAGTGGCAAGATGATTATAACATCCTAGAAAACCGTACCAGATATTGTCTGTTTTACCCACACCTGGACTCACGGTTTTAAAACGCAGAGAAGGTATCCAGTCCCTTATAAGGCAACTTTTGCTCCCCTCCCCAACCGATGTGGGATCTCACAATTCCCTCCCCCCCCCCCCCC